CTCCTGAGGGCCGCCAGGCAGCGAGGGAGCACGGAGCAGGGCCGAGCCGGGCGGCCGCCCTGCCGGGCAGGAGCCGCGCGGCCTGAGCCGGGCCCGCGTCCGGGCCTGCTGAGGGTCGGTTAGCCAGGGCGCCCGGGAACTTCGGGGTGTGCGGAAGCTGGGCAGGGAGAGAACTGCCGCTGCAGAGAGATGCCTCTGTGAACCCTGGCTGCGAGGGAAATGGATCACGGTGGTCTTCAACCCCGAAGATCCCTGCAAGCAACCAGAACGCTCACCAAAGTGGGAGAAAATACATGGCTTCTTGTGCCTGCCTTCAGCAGTAACCAGACTGGCAAGCGTTGGAGCCCCTGGCATGCTCTGTGTTGGGGGCATCTTTCTCTCTGCCTGTGTTGTGCTTTCAGAGGCAGAAGCCCAAGTCCTTCACCAGAGAGGACAGAAAGCGCAGTCAGACCACCCTGTTGCTTCTGCCCCTGTAGCCCTCCACCACCACCTCATGTAGATCACCTTGTGTAAGTTGAGTGGGACTGTGTGATGTGTTCTTGTGTGCCCCTTGACGTTGCCGGTATCTCAGCACTTCTAGTATGGAGGCACATGAACTCTCATGGAAGGGGAAGAATGAAAAGCAACAATGAGAAGCAGCAGGGCAGTCTGTAAAGATCCAAGATATCTCCAATTCTCAGAAACTTTTCAACAGGGAATTCCCAGCATAGGCCCAGGCTAAAGAACGGGGGACTGTTCATTACTGACTTGTACATGCAGAAAAGACCCACTAGAGGCCTAGCCAAAGCTGAGAACACAGGCTTTTTGGGCCTCGCTCTGCTCTGCCTCTGTAGTACCTCTTGGAAAGGCGAACTAAAGTCTTCTCCAAAGTAAGAGTCCTCAGCAGATGTTTGAGATGCAAGTTCACCATTCAGAGAGCAGTGTCCTGGCTGCAGGGAGTCAACCAGCAAGGGTGGTTACAAAAGCCTGCACTGGCTGAAAGGTGGATCCTGTGATATCGTTTCAGGTCTTCCCAGGAAGCGCTCTTTGCATCAGACAAAACGGGGAGCCATTCAAAACAGCTCAACTTGTGTCTTGCCGCCTTTGCAGCAATATCTTCCACACTTGTCCTGCGGTGCTGTGAGTGGATCATCACTACAGTACCCTTTCCAGCATCTCTGCATCCCATCTAGTAATACCCTGCACTTACCTTGTCGCTGAGCGCGTCATGCTGACTGCTTTGCTGGAGAAAGATTTGACCCCAAGGTTGTGCTGACATCACACTTCAACTCCCTTAGCTGGTCACCACAACTGCTCACGCTTCATGTATGAATGAGCTGCACAGTGTCACAAAGCAGGCTAATTCTCTAGCTTACCAGCTATCCCCCACAGTAGTCTCCATTACTACTGTTACCCAGTGCCCACAATGAGCTGGAGCTGTTTATTTCTAGACACAGGTCCCAAAAATCTGTCTTGCTTGCACAGATTGCCCTAAACAGAGACTTCTGACCAAGCAAGAAAGGATGCAGTCATTGTAAGATAAGTGGGGCAGCAAAGGACATTACACAAACAAAGCAAGCCTCAGGAGGTGGGACAAAGAGTGAGGACACAGACTGGACAAGCCTTCACTCCAGCCTACATTCTGGATATCCAAAACTTCCTGGCTTTTCCCTTAGCAGAGCATTTATATATGCCAGTTAGAGTTTGGAGGTGAAAAAGGAGAAGTGATTACCTCCTTCACTACCCTTTTTTTCCCCCTCAAAAAAAGAAACTGAGCTCAAAGAACTTAGGAAGTGTGTATACAAGTCTGCATGCACCAAACTGAAGTGCAGCAGATGCCACAGTCACTGCCCAGCTCCTGGAATTCACAAGGCCTTACTGCTGCACCATCAGTTCTTAAAGAAGCCTATTTCAGCAACACGCTGAAAAGCTGATGATCTCAGTTGCCTCCTAACATCACCAGGCCCTCAGCTGAACAAATACATGCAAGCTGCAGTTTTGGATATGAGAGATAAGAGCACAGGACGTGCATGCCTATGCTACGGAACAAATGGAGCTACCTTAAAGAAGTGTTACGTAGCAAATAGTCCAACTGCTAAGTTTGATGCCACAGAAAAGCCAAAACCATGCATGGTGGCACAAGGACAGTTAAGACTACACATATGGTGAAAAACATATGGCTACACATACGGTTTTGACACAAAAGAAACAAGAGGAAAGTCTCAGTCTTGTGCTTCCTAGAGCCAGAAAAGGGCCTGACCATTTCCCCTTATTCTATTGACTTACACACCCACTTTGCAAACTGACCTCTGATCAAATCCATTCCATGTTTGTATTGACCTCATCTCTGATGACTATTTAAACCAGTAAAAAAAAACACCCCAACAAACCAACAACAACAAAAAAAAAAAATCACAAAAGTATTGGGGGTGGGAAGAGACTGATGTGCATACAACAGGTAAAATCCATCCAGACAAATAATAGTTGTGAGTTGGAGGAACTGCCATCACAGGCCATATCTGGGTGATCAGGGAAAGGCTATGGAGGGAAACAGTCACCACACCTCAGGAAGGACCAAAACCCTTGCACCAGTCCACACAGTAGTGATGGCCAGCTCTAGAAACCTTAAGCAGTGAAGCATGCCACGCCAATTGTCACCATAGCCCCCTGCAGAAGAGCAGATTTCTGTTCCACTCAGTACTTCCTCAAGTCAGTCTTCTAACTAGAGTGCAAGCCCTTAGCCTACAAGTAGTCTTCTAGTCAGTGAACCAACTCCTGTCCAACAAGCAAGCTTTTTCCCTCTCCTGTGATCTCCATAATGGAGCTGGGGAAGAAAATTAACATGGATGACTATCAGTATATCATATCTATCCATCATTCATTTGCCTCCTCTGCTCTAGGCTGCTCTGGGCGCTCCAACCTCTTCTGCTCATAGAAACAGTATAGCAAAATATAGCCCTTTTTATATCCTCTTCCCACATCATTCCTAATGCCCGGGGACCCATCTTTGCATGTCGTGACTGTACCTTCCTCAAATCCCAGATCACATACCTTTCCTCAGAAAAAGCACAGCAAGCACAAGCAAGAGTAACTTCAGAAAATGAGAAAATTTTAATCCACAGAATCAACGTGGTCAGCACCAAGTAAAGTGTCTGCCCCTACCTCTCCTGCAGCTCTTATTGTTTACTGTGTTCCCTGGAAACTCCGTGGAGTCTCTGGAAGAGTCTGATCAAGAGAGATACAACTCTTGCTGTGCCTGACCACAATGTAAGACAAACATATATGTTTACTGACTATAACCAGGTTCAACACAAGATCACAGAATGTTCGGATTCTGATCCAGCTTTGCCTCTCTAAAAGCCTCAAAATCACGAGTTATTTTTGCCTTCCTTCCCAGCCAATGTAGAGAAAAATTTTAAGCAACTGAATGGATCCTCTTCCACATCCTAGAATCTGTCAACTTTAGGAGAAAAAGTTACTCACCCTGGAAATCCACTACATAAATTAGTATAAGCGCAGGGGAAATAACATCACTAAGCAAGTGTTGTACAGTTTATTGAAGAACAAATTCAAGCCATTTATTATACAAACATTCCTGGTACCTGATCTGAAGTCCACATGATTTATCTACTTTAACATGGCCCTTTTCTTCAATGGTTCCCCCATTTCATTCAGATACACCACTGCATGTTTTAACAGATCTCTTTGCCTTTCTCTTGCTGTCCGTTGGGGTTTGGTGAGGAAATGGCAATGTGGTGATAATGGAAACTGTGAGCTGGTGACTAGGGCAGTTAAACAATAACAAGGTAAGAATGTTTGGCAAAGATACAGACAACAAAAGCATAGAAAGTGCTAAGAAAAATGCAGTATTTTCAGGCTCACTGGGTCTGATGACCCTTAAGTATCTCAGGATATTTCATTAACTGGTTGAAATAATGACAGATTCATGAAGGGTGAGTCAGATACCAGGAGCGTGAAAGAAGCCAAAACCTGCCTATGTGGAAAGGGACAAGAAGATAGGCTAAGGATTGTGAACCAATCAATTTGCCTGTAATTTAAAAAATAAATAATATTCTGGTGCATGTAAGTTGTTTGT